CGCCGCCGCCGCCGGGGGCCGCGGCGTGGCGTCCGCAGGTATGGCAGTAGCTGCGGCCGCCGCTGGCGGTGGTGGTGGTGGCGGCGGACGGGGCCGGGGTCGGTCTAGTGACTACGCCGGCAAGTTCGATTTGGAGCGGTGTTTTGAGCAGATCGTCAAGCAGGATAAAGACGGGCTTTTCGCAAAGCCTGTCACGGATGACGTGGCGCCAGGCTATTCGGAGGTGTGTGCGTGCTGCGGCAGAGAGAGAGAGAGGGAGAGGGAGAGAGAGAAAAGGAGGGGGGTGTCTGAAGGAGTAGAAGCGCAAAACGAGGGTGAACCCCATCGGGGCGGAAAATGGGCCCGGGGGGGGGGGAAGTGGGAAAGGAGTCTCGCTATCGCCCTATACCCTGCCATCAGCCCTGCGTTGCCATGCCGGCACCATCACCGTCATCATCATCACCACCGTCGTCATCGGTGTCCACACATCCCACCTGCCGCCCTGCTGCTGCTGACGCCGCCTCCGCTGCCGGTGCCGCCATACCCCCCCTTCGCCGTGTGTGATTGCACACCCGTGGGACACAGGTGATCAAGAACCCCATCGATCTGTCCGTCATCCGGGAGCGGTTACGGAACGGCAATTACGACACATGGGGCTCCTTGGAGGTACGAGTGGACGAGTGTCGGAGAAAATGTGGCCGATTTGTCCTGTGACTTGATGTGACATGACCCGTGGGTCGCGAACAGGGATTTTTGTTGAGCCCGCGGGCCAGGATGGTTCGGCGTTATTTTTCATGTGATAGAATGATAATAAGTTATCATCGTCTTATGATGATACCTGATATTGCCTAATTTGGACAGCCCTTCGTAGTCTAGGGAGAGCCTAGGGCCCTTGGGACCGCTCCCTCAGGTACGGCTCCGGGTACGTGCGAGCTCCCTCGTTACTACGGCTTTATTTTTAGGGTAAAGTAAAGCGCAACTCCAGAAGCTGGGGTAACTCTTACGCACATACACACCCACACGCGCGCACGGCGCCCCCACCAGACACACACACACACACACGTTATGGTCCCATGCCATGCTACTACCCCTCCCAGGCCGATTTGGTACTGATGACCAACAACGCCAAGACCTACAACCCGGAGGGGAGCACCGCCTGGTGGCACGCGGAGATGATGGAGAAGATGACCCTCAAGTACATCAGCTGCGGCAGGGCGGGCATGCAGAACTACCGGGGGGTGGCGGCGTCCGTGTGGAGGGACCTCAGGAAGCCGGCGGAGGGCACCGCGTAAGTCGATGTCGATGTCGATTACGATTACGATGCGATCAGGAGAATAAAAAAGGGGATGTGGGAGGTAGGGGGGGGGGGAGTGGGGGAGGTTTACATACACACACACACACAGAGAGAGAGAAAGAGAAGGGCTCCACCATCGAGTTTGCCCTCTACCTACCCTTCATCCCTTCACTGCTCCATTTTTTACTTTCAGCTTCCCTCGGGGCAAGACCTCCCCTCGCTTCTGTCGTGACCCTTCCAAATCCCGCCCTCCCGGCTCGACCCGCCCTCCCACCCCTAACCCATTACACCACCCACAGCGCCATTCCGCTCCTGCCCCGCTACACATCCGCCGGACCCCGCCTCGACAAGAACGGAAACGAACGAGACCCCGCGGAGCGCCGCCGCCAGCAGCAAGACGCCAACGCCGAGGCGGCCAACCTCATGTTGGACTCGCGGCTGAGGGAGCGGCGACCCGGACCCGGCGCGCTGCGAGACGACGTCGTGCTGTGGCCCAGCAGCAGTACAGACCCACGGGTCGCGGGCGGCGCCGGCGGCGTGGGTGGCGTTGCGGGTCTGGGCGGCGTGGGTGGCGTGGGCGGGCCCGGTGGTCCCGGGCGGCGGAAGCACCGGACCCAGGGCCTGCGGGCGATTGAAGCGGATGCCAGGCGGCTGATGGCAGCCCAGGTGGGGTTGTTTTCCTAGGGGGTATGAGGGGGGGGGGAATGTTGGGGGTGTGGCTGATTGGGATGGAGGTTGGTCGGAATAAATGCGGATGGCGTGGATGTGGGTGTCGTGGCGTGTGCGGACTGTGTGTGCGTGTGTGTGTGTGTGTGGAAAATGTATCCTCCTCATACCCCCCTTACGTCCGTATGTATATCCCCCAAACCCCTTTTTCTCTCCCGTCTTGTCGGCTCTTCCCTCCTCTATCCCTTCATAACCTCTTAATTAATCATATACCGTGAAACCCCAACTCACATCGGTTTTTGACAGTCTTGACCATTCTGTTAAAACCGCAGGCGGGCGATAACCGATTCAGTTACCGTTCCAAACCGCCAAACAGCGTCGCACCGTTCGTCAACATGGGGGGATTGGCCAATGGTGCCTCCCCAGAGGGACTGCCGTACGCAATCGTACGGCCTTCGCTACAGCCCGCCTACCTGCCGTGCGACTCAGTGGCTGACGCCTACGCGACAAGTCTGGCTCGGTTCATGTCGCGTTGCGGCAAGCTGGTGCAGGTAGTGTGGGGGCGATCCCCGCGGAGTTGTGGAAAGGGGGGGTTTGGCGAATGGAGGCGACGGAGGTAACGGCCGAAACGGGCGGGGGGGGGGAGAACATAAAAAAAGAACCCTCCCCCCGACGACTATGCCTGTTTTAGCATTCATTCCGTAAAGGAGCACTCTTAAGTAAAGGAGCAGAGTGGCAGGCAGTTGTGCATGGCAGGTGTTTCGTAATCTGGTGATTTTGGTATGCAACCAAGTCGGGGAACCTGCCGTGAGTACAGAAACCACACAGGGAAACAGACGCGCGCTTGGAAAGTATATTTGAATCATCGGTTTGCATGTCCACCGGTGCATGCATGTTGGTTATGCGTATGCGTATGCGTGTGCATATTATGCACAAACGAAAGGAATGTAGTGGAATGGACAAATAATAGGACGGGTTGGTGGAGAAAGGTGGCGAAGTGGCTTTCCTTCCGTTGTTTTTCCGCTGATTCCGAGGCCATGTGTGGCCCCCCTTCTCAACGATGCTTTTCCCGCTGCCGCCATGCAGGCTGCCGTCTTCAAACGGCTACGGGAGCCCCCCCCGCCGCCGCCTCCCGACCCCGCCAAGCTAGCCGAAGAGGCCCTGCTGCAACAACAACAACAGCAACAACAACAGCTTTTACAACAACAACAACAACAACAGTCGCTGCAGCACCAGCAACAACAGCCATTGCAGCAGCAGCAGCAGCAGGCCTCGTTGATACAGCAAGCGGCCGCGTTCCTGCAGCAGCAGCACCAGCAGCAGCAGCAGTCGTTACTCACGGGGGCGTCCCTTTCCGGCCAGAGCGCCCTCAGCGGTACTGGTTTCGGAACGGCCCTCGGGTCTGTTTCCTTGCCACTACCACTGCCATTACCGCAGCAACTCCTATCCCATCAGCAACAGCCGCAGTCGCAACAGCCGCAACAACAACAGCTACAATCCGGGGGATCGCTACCGGTGCCAGGACAGGGACAGGGGCAGGGACAGGGACAGGGACAGGTTCCGTCACTTGCCTGCTTGCTACCAAGCCAGGGACAGGGGCAGGGACAGGGACAATCTGCTTCATCAGCCGGCGCAGCGCCAGCAGCTGTGGCGGCAATGACGTCGTCGGCATTGCCAGGTGTCGGTGTCGGCGCAGGGGTGGTGGATGCAGGGCAGGGTCCAGGGACAGGGTTGGCGAGTCAACAGCAGCAGCACCAGCACCAGCAGGTAACGGCGCCGGTGTCGCACACGTCTTCGTCATCGTCATTGTTGTTACCGCAACACCACCAGCCGCACCACCAGCAGCTAGAGCAATTTCTAATGCCGCCGCCGCAGCAGCAGCAGCAGTACCAACAAGGTCTGGGCCCAGCTAGGACGGCTACACCGCCTCTGGCTCAGCTGCAGCAGCAGCAACAACACTCTCACCAGCAGCAACCGCAGCCGCAACCGCAAGAAGGGGGGACACAGCATAATTTCCAGCTTCAACAGCACCAGCAGCAAGAGCAGGCCGCTCCGCCGTTGCCCTCGCAATTCCTGGCCCCTCAGTCTCTGCAGGGTTTGCACCCCCCACAGCACCCCCCACAGCAGCACCAACATCAACAAATTCAACCTATGCAGCAATACCAAACGCAAGCATCGTACTTGCCCATGCAACCTGCAAACCAACAGCAGCAGAACCTACAGTTGCAGCAGCAGCAGCAGCCGCAGCAGCAGCCGCAGATACTGCAACCGGGGACAGCACATCACAGCCAAGTGGGTCATTATGCAGCGGCGCCGGCCGGGCAGCATTAAGCGCCTACCGAGACGGATGATTTTTACACGCCTACAACAGACAGTACCCCGCAACCATCAACACCACCAGAAACACCACCAGAAACACCACCAGAAACACCACCAGAAACACCACCACCGGTAACGGTGGGTCGCCGCGGGTCCCAGGTCCCCGTGTCCCCTGTGTTGTACTAGCAGCAGCCGCTGGAGCAGCGGCTCTGAGCTGTCGAATCAGTCGCCGCTGTCGCCGTTGCATGCATGCCAGCAGAGAGCGACGAGTCCCGAGTTGCGAAGGTTGTTGGGAGCGATGGGTATATGTGAAGAGGTCGCGGGGAGGGGGGGGGAAGCGCTTTGTCCGGCATTTGAGGAATGGACGAGATTATGATCCCAATGAAGGTGGGACCAGTCTGGGTGCCTGAGATGCTTGCCGAGCATCCTTCTTAGCGGAGTGTCATTTCATGGCCAGGGAAGGAAAAGGGGTTGCAGCGTGTTGGGTGCAGCGCCGTTGGCCGGTGTGGCACCAGACGCCGGGCTTGATAAGAAACGCAAAGGAGGAGGAGGAGGAAGAGGAGTTTGTTGGCTGTGGCACAAGACCGAATGTGTTTTCCCATGCGGCGGCGCAAGGGCGTTTGGCTGTGGCGCATTCCTCCCCGTGCATGCATGAACGGCTGGGACCGGGACTGGGAAGGGAAGGGTGAAAGTGACGAAAAAACGATGGGGCCAGGGATCGGGGCAATGGGGTTTCCTAATAATAACAATAGGGAGGAGGGTTGTTCTGCATGACGCTTCTGAGGGGAAGGGAGTTGTAAAGTAGAGGCGCTGCAGGAAAGGGGGAAGTTGGGGAGGCCTTTGTTGTTGTTCGGGAGTGTATACGTCTATGCGGAAGAGCTGGAAGAGCAGGAGGAGGATGCAACGACGACTATGATGCTGCTTTTGAAGGCATGGACGAGAACGGAGCATGATGATGATGATGATGATGATGATGGTGATAAGAGGAGGATAGAATGTACAGACTTTTGGTTAAAGATTTTGTGCGTGCAACTATTGCCTTTCTCTTTCTTCCCGTGCGTCTTTGTGCTGCATGCTTGTTTACTGTATGTGGCTGTATGCCGTTTATACCTGGGGAGGGAGTCGCATACACCCCATAACACGTGGGCCGACTGCTGCTGCTGTTGCTGCTGCTCGTGTTGGCGGATCAGCGGAGACCCTTTCCTATTGTTGGCGTTGTTGGGCATGGGCCTTTTGAACACTGCCACGGTCAGTCTTCACTATCTCTTACGACTATTTCCGTAGTAGTATCGCTAGTACTCACCCTTCCCTCCGGCCCACCCCGGGTAGAACGAGGGCGGGGCCCAGGGTTTTGGGGCGGCTTCAAAATGCACTTCTGAAGACTTGGACGGAATAATTCGAAAGTATTATACCAGAACTTCTCCTGTCCTGCATCCATGAGGGTATATTGGCTACCTGCGAAGGCCTCAACAAGGGGAAAAGAGGGGCAATTAGTTTGGGTGTATGAGGGGAAAGGCGGCGAAAGGGCGGAAGGGCGGGGAGAGCAAGTGCTACATGAGATGCTGTGTGAGTGTGTGCTCTGATGTAGTTTGGCTGTGCTTTTTGAGTCCGCTTCTCCCTTCCGCATGAGGGGTAGGTGGACGGCAAACGGGTGGTATACGTGTATATAGTAGCGGGCCCGCTGAACTGGCTGGCCACCGGCCTCTCTGCACTTTCTTTGTTTCGGTGCTGCCTTCCCCTCCACCCTCCCTGCATTGTCAACTATCACCAAAGTGGAGTGATAGCACCGTAGAAACGGAGTTTTTTTAGCTCACATATCGTGACGGTATAGGAAAGGCACACCACGAAAGCGGGCCTTATTGGTGCATTACCAGGGGGAACCGCTCATGGAGTCAACGTAAGTGCCAACGGGGGCGGCAGCGTGGATGCTCCTGTATGGCACCGTACGGACCGACTTACGAGCAGTGGCACTATCTACTTTGCGACGCACACCATTGTACGCACCACGCCAAGTGCCTTGCCCATCATACGCCGCTAACAGCCACCACGGTGAAAAGCTCAGTACTCACTATAATCAGAGAAGGAAGAGCACCACGCAGAAGGCGCCTTAATGAGTACGACGCGGAGAAAGATACACATACACATTGTCGTATCCCCCATCCCACCTCGCAACCCAATTATCCCCAAGCTGCCAAGGAGGTCAAGCCTCCGCAACTTACATCATCCCCCTGGACCGCTCACACAGCCAAACAGTCAAAACGTGAAGGCAACCCTATCCCGCACCTCCACCAACCTTTCCGGTAAACCATTTGTTCGGGTTTCGAAAGCACACACGCCAAACCACCGCCACCGGTACTGCATACGACATTCATCTGTAAGGGAAAGGGCTTATGGGCATGGCTGCCTCAGCGAAAGGCCGCTCGCTTCAATAAGCCACAGCCTGGAAATAGTTGCAAAAGGAGCAACAACTATCAACCACCACATCACTGTCCTCCATGCAAACCTTCATAGCTAGAGAACAAGTCACCAGGCTAACAGAAAAACAACCAGCACATAAAGCTCAAACAGAAAACTACGAACAAGACGTGTACACCAATCTCTTAACACATGCGCAAACTCGGACACGCGGGGTGACCCGGCCCGGCCTCTGCACATTCGGGTAATCGTCTGCTTCGAAGCAAATGCGGATAGAGCAGCGCAATCTGCAAATGTATTATTTCCTTTCATCTTATCGCTTAAAACCAAGCATGGCCTTCATATTCCTTGTTGACAATGATGATGGCGAACAGAGCGAAATCCCGCATACATACAATAACAGCAGACGACTGATACACACCATCCCGTACATGCCCTCTCTAGGGACTCCCCAGCCGGGAGCTCTCGCGAATGCTGATGCCATGCGTCCACGCTTGTCCGTCTGTCTGTCTGTCCGTCTGGACCCACCCCCGTCCTCCGCCTCTCCTTCTGTCTTTACAAGCGGGATATGCCAGACACAACCCCGTCCTACTCTCATCCCTGCGCAGCACTCCACTGGAGCCGAATAGCACATGTATAAATAAGAAGCGCGGCATGGCCCCGAGCTGCTTTCCACACCTGCTCCTCCTACCGCCGCTTCCCCTCTTCCCCCTCCACCCAGGCCGGTCCGCCAGTCCGTCCGTTCGTCCATCACTCAGTTATGTGAATGCCGCAACACCAATCACCCAACCAAAGCACAGCCACTCGTCAGCCGCACTCTCAGTCCTTCTTCTTAACACAGTTGTTGCCGCCAGCGAAGCACGCCAGCAGGAAGATGACCACCGCCAGCAGCGCTACAGCCAGTAGCACCACCAGCTTCATGCGGCAGTTCTGCCACCACATCTTGCTGCGAAGCTGACGGCCCTTGCGCTGAAACTGCTCAGCCTGGGAGGGTGGGGGTAGAGTGGTACGGAGGGAAGGAGGAAAAGCAAATTGCGGGTTTTGGGGGATTTGGGGACCGATGCTGATGCGTGATGGTGGGGCATGTGGTTGGGCCCGCCAACCCCCACGATAACAATGACACCGGAAAAAACACGTCTCAAGGGCGTATGTGGAAGTACATCCGCCGTACATCACGTACCTGGTTCCGGAGGTCATCCGTCTTGTCCACCAAGAGCTCAATTTTCTCACCCCTCTCCAGAACCTTCTCAATGTTCTCCACCATCACATCCTTGACCTCATTAACCTGATAAGGAGTTTGAAAAGGCTTTGTGAAAACGCCCTTTCATATGGTATGATGTCTTTTGCGTGTGCAGAGTTTCTGGTGGCGATGTGCCAATGATGATGATGATGGTGGTGATTACGGAGCGCCGCAACCGTCCGTTCAAAACATCGTGCTTCTCTTCATTGTCGTACCTTTTTCTGTACGGCAGCAATCTTTGAAATCTCCTCCGGATGCTCCATGCAGTACTCCATGTGGGTCTTGAGACGAGGTCTGCAGCCATCCATCCGTACGGCAAATAAACACGCAGAAAAAACTGTAGCGTCTCAATAATGCGTTACAAGCGGCCACATGCACACGGACGTATGTATGTATGTGCGTGTATGCGTCGGGTAAGAACGGCGACATACAGACTGGAATGCTATCGGCAGGCAGCTGCAACAGCGATTGCAGCACCAGCAATATTGCCTACCGGGACCTGACGAACTCTTATCATGTCTAAAGGGTCAGAGGCAAGATATGTTGTGGAACACATGTCGGTGTCTGTTCGTGTTGGCCAGGGAAAATCGGGGAGCAGAGGGGAGGCACTGCGAACTCCTCTTGCATCCAGGTCCTTTCCCAACAGGCTCGCGGGCCCATGCATGGTAATAGAACCAGAGCAGGGGTCACATGCCGAGGACAGCAAGTCCAGATGACTAAGCTTTTCCTTGCACGCCTCACCCGAAGGTACGGTCCATGCTGTGTGCTGCTGCGGTCCGGGCCTTGTCAGCGTATCGTGACTCGAACTCGTCTCGTACCCGCTCCAGGAACGCAAACGGTATCTGGCGCCCATATGCCTCGTCGGCGACCACGCAGAAGGCTGCAAAGCAGGACCCAAACGGACTGACCGAAAGAACTGACAGTCCAAAGGTCGCGCTTAAACTTCAAACTCACTGTATCCATTATGGACAAGGAAGTTAAACGTGTGTCTGTCACATGCTATCGTAAACTTGCTCTCTGGGTTTGTCAATTTTTGCAGGCATTCAATTGCAACAGTGTTGAAGTTGCCGCTGTATGGAGTGTACTCAGCTAACACACTTGTTTCACGAGCTACAAGTGCGTAGATTAGGGGCATTCTGAAGTCGCAGCGGGGAGTGCTGACGGAGTGAGAAGTGCGCGGGAGAGTGCGATCGTCGAGCTAGGCAGGGAATCCCCAAGAGTAGTTTGTAAGCAGACCGTGGTAGTATAAGCTAGCCCAGTGAAAAGCACGACTTCAACCTTGGAGCCTCTCGCAGTTGCGTGGAGCTGCATTTCGTGCAGAGTGACAGTTGGACTGCAGTCGTGCAGTTCGCTACTGGGAGTTACCAGGCGGTTTTACGTACCTCCTGAACATCTATTGCAATCCTAGCTTTTACCGATTTGGCTTCTGCTTCGCTTCGTTCAAGTCACACCAAAGTGCAGCACCAAAGTCCTCACTTTGCCTGACACCATAGCTCTTAGGAAATGCACGGATTTTTAGGTTAACAATCCAAAACCCTTATTGCTAAGATGCATCTAGTCGAAATAGAAGGCTGAGCTACGTCTCAGGAGCATGCCGCTTATTTACTGCAGCGTATCACAGGGTGCGGTTACTCTCGCGGAATACGCAGCTTTCTCGGGCAACTTTGGAGCCGTTGCTCGGGAGTATTTGGACAAGGCGGGGAGCTCCGAGGGCAAATTCACTTTCACAGTCGAAGGACACACTTTTAACTTTTTATCTCAGGGCGGCTTCAGTAAGTTTTGAACGCTTTGATCACCAACTATGCTAAGCATCGTGGCGAAAACAATCCCCCGGCTGCCTGTTCCGTAGGTGCGGGAAGCCGCCCTCAAGCGGCCTGCGCCGCCCCAACTCATAGCTCTTAAACCCGCTCCTTCCGCTCCCTAAAACTCCAACTCCCCGCCGCCCGCTCTCCCCCACGATCCCCCTCTCCGTCCATTTCTTCCCTTTGCCCTTCACTAGGCTTCACCTTCCTCATCGCTTTCCCCCTTGACGCCTCCAATACGGCCCCAGATGCCATCCCGTCCCCAACCCTGTGCGGAATGAAGAGCAGCAGCATCTTTACCAGCCATGTTGCACCCCAGTCAACGCGCACATATACAAACCTCCCCCTCGCGGAGAGATAACTCCTGTCCCTTTCCCAAACTTCCGGCAGATGATCACTTTACATACATCCTTACAGTGCACCACACCACCACCACACCACCACTACCACCACCACCACCCTGCGCTACGCCCCCGCTGGATTCCAGCCCCTTCCGTTCTCCCCCTTCATAATCCTTTGCGCCCATCTACCGGGCGCCACATGCAAGTTATTGTCCCCGGTGGCGGTCTTGAATGAATGAATGGATAGATGGATGGTCGATGTGGCATTCCGAAATTGTGGAACCAAGCGGATCAGCCCCAGTACTGCTCCGCGCGCCCTAACGCTGTACATGCCGTACAGGAACATTCCGTCGCTTTCATTCATTGCTCCTGTAATTCCGAGGATTACCTCTTTTTTCTCTCTCTCCCTCCCTCATAGTTCTGAATGAATTCTCTCTTTGTGTCTATTCTCTACGCATCTAGACGATGTAGCACCCCTTCACCCACACTCGTGACCTCCTCCTCCCCCCTCGCTCCTCCACACGCATCCCGGGGCAGCTTACCTCGCGGTCGCGGATGAGGCGTACGGCAGGGCCATTCCCTCGGCGGCTCTGGACAAGATTGAGGGGGAGTTTCGGAGCAAGTGGTCGGATAAGATCCGTGTTGGCGCCTCGAGGGAGGGAGCTCTCAACAACACATTTGGGTGAGTGAGTGAGACCGGGGGGGTGAGGGGGTTAGAGACAGACGGAGGTGGGGGAGGGGGAAGTGTAGAGGGGGGGTTTACAATACACGAAGGTTACACGGGAAACAAGTGCTGACGTCCAAGGGAGAGAGAAGAGGGGAGGGGGGAGGAGGAGGGGGAAAAGGGGGAGGAGGTTAGAGGTGGGAGGAGGGGGGTGGGAGGCGGGGAGAGGAAGGTCTTCAGGGTGAAGGAAACGATAAGTGAATGGGAGACTTTTTGCCTAACTTTCTGTTTGTGTTATTGTTTATATGTCTGTCTGTCTTCTCCCCCCTTCCTTTCGCTCCCTTCCAGGAAGCAACTCAAGCAGATAATGGAACATGCGACACAGTACCCCCAAGAATATTCTAAAGTGGCTGCCGTACAGTCCAGGGTAGGTGTCTAGGTGGGTGGGTTGGACCTGCGCATGATGCAGGAAATGCAAGAGTGCCGGAAGCTCAACGGCCGGCATCCAGCGAGGGGGGGAAAGGGAAGTTGCGGTGTGGGTTGTGATTGTGGGGGTGTTGTGGGGAGGAGGAACGAACTAAGGGTGGTGACCAACCGATTGTTGGGCCACGCGGCATGTGGTGGTGTCCCCCGTGTACCCCCCTGTGTGGGGGGGGATGGGTCGGGACGGCGGTGCTAGCGACTGCGACTTGATGTGGCTCGGGGCTGCCCCCCCCCCCTTGCTTATAACCTCCCTCCGGCGCTCCAAGGCACACATATACAGACAGACAGAGACATGTACAGACAGACAGACATGCACAGACATGCACAAACATGCACACGTTGCTGGACACATTCCCAAGCTCTACCTCTCCAGCACTTGCTTCCCGAGCTCAGTTCAACACGGAGGATGCACACACACGCACGCGCACATGCACAGTCGACCACCATGCTCATAGGCCCGCACAGATCACCACCACGGCAAATCCCTTTTGCAGGTAAACGAGGTGAAGGGCATTATGACAGATAACATCGATAAGGTGATTGCCCAGGGGGAGAAGCTGCAAGTGCTCACAGACAAGACGGAGAACCTCATGTTTGAGGTGAGGGGGGGAGGAGTAGGGGGAGGAGGAGTAGGGGGAGGAGTAGGGGGGGAGTAGGGGAGGAGTAGGGGAGGAGGGGAAGGGGAGGAGGGGAAGGGGAGGAAGGGATCAGGGGAAGGGGAATGTGGAAGGGGGTAGCTCCGGCGTGTGGAGTCGGGGAGGGGGGTCGGTTCCGGTTGTCCTTGGTCGATTGTGTTGCCGCATTGGATGACGCACGACATTGGTTTTTCCCCGACACCTACCCGTGGGTCTGTGGAGGAGTGGTGTGCTGTCACATTCTCCTCTGTTGACGGCGTCCCCCGGTGTCACCCGACTTGGGCCGCTGTTGCCCCTGGCCTCTGTTGTTGCAGGCGGACCGGTTTGTGCGCACTGGGCGATCGCTTCAGCGTAAAATGTGGATGCAGAACTGCAAGATTAAGGTCGTCGTGGCCTTTGCGGTGCTGCTGTTGGGCGTCATTATCTTTTTACTGATTTGTTTTTCCGGTACGAATTGCCTCAAAAAGCAGCACTGAGCTGGTTTGCGTGTGTGTGTGTGGTTGTGTGTCTGTGTGTGGTTGTGTGAGTATGTATGTGCCTTGTTTGTCTATGGCGAGATCAAAAACGTCGCGCGGCGGCATTTGATCCCAGCCTGGGAGGAATTAGAGGAGGTGTGAGGTGACGGAGGCCTCGTCTCTACGAAGGTGCGAGACCGTCTGCCGAGCCCAGGGCAGGGGTGTGTCTGTGTGGATGTATGTCTGTGTGGGCCATTACCCCCCCATGTCCGTGTCCGTGTGTGTGTATTGACGTGCGTAACGTTGCGGACGTCGATCTTTAAGCTAAAATTGAGGGGGGTGCTTCGCGTGAGTGTGTATGTACGTGCATGTCGGTGTGTATGTATGTATGTTGGCATCCTGCCAGCTGTTTAGGGCTAGCTGCCCGCACGGAAAGACCTATTGCCAAAACACGCGCCGACCCCCCCCGGACGGGGGTAGTGCCAGCGTATGTGTTTTGGAAGGGAAAGGGAACATTGCGTGTGTGTCTGTCCGTCTGTCTGTCGGACTGTATGTTATGTGCGTTTGGACGCGTTTTTCAACTTTTGATGTGTGTTTTTGCTGCTGCTGCCGCTGCTGGAGGATTTTTTAGGGGGGCGGCCGCCGTGCTTTGATTGTTCTTCTTGCTCTGCTGGACACGGAACGAAGCGTATGTTGGTTTTCTTCCCCAGTCATTTCGTTGTTTCTGTGACATCGTTGTCGTTGCTGTTTGTTGTCGACATGGCGTTGTTGCCGTCTTGCAACTTCCTGTTGGTTGGTTGGTTGGTTGTCACGTCAGTCTGGCGACTGGGGATGCCAGAGGATTGAACTCGTGCTGCTCGTGTGTCACGTCATGTGGGTCATGTCATGTGGGTCATGTCATGTGGGTCATGTCATGTCTATAGAGAGGTCCACCCAGTAGTGGTGGTAGAGGCACCGGAGGCGCCACCGAGGCAGTGCCGCAGTTGGGCAGTTGGTGCAGCTGCGGCCCGGGCCGCTGCGGAGGGGACATCGTTCGAAGGGGGGCCCCTAACTGCAATCGGAGAAAAAAAAGGCTTTGTGGGACGGGGGCTGTAATGGACGCTGGGCGGGTTGGAATTGTGGGAGGAACGGGAGGGAAAAAACACCGGCCTACGGTGTCGGGGTGTGTGTGTGTTTGGATGAGTGTGTGGGTGGGAGTTTTTTTGGGGAGAAGGAAAGCAGCCGTCAGGCGACGGTGGTGGCAGTAGCAGTAGCAGTACTAGGGGCAGCGCGTAGTGTGGGTGGGTGGGGGTGGAGTGATCTCTCTCTCTCAGTGTGCTGCTGTCTAACGAGTGCTGTCTTCAGGGGGGGCCCTCAGGGGGCATGTGGTGGGGGTCCGAAAGGAGATGGAAAAGGGACCTCTGGCCGCCCTCTCTCTCTCCCGGGTGGAGTCCTGGGGGCTGAGAGGAGCACGGAGTGGGATCGCTGGGGTGCTAACCTCTGCGTGCGGTCCGGGTGTACTACATGCATATGTGTATGTGGGGGGGGGGGTCGGGACCAAAGGACGAATGGTCGTTGTGCAACATTTCCACGTGCTGCGCGATGGCTTCCGCCGCGGCTGCGGCGGTGGCCTCGGGCTGTTGATGTTGTTATTGCCTGGGGAGGTCCCGAAGGTAGCAACGTGTTCATTCGGAACTGAAGGGGGTTGTGTATGTGTGTGTGTGAAGATGTGCGTGTATGTGTGTACACGCGATTGTTTGTACATGCGGGGGGGAGAGGGGGCGCCCGCGACGCCATGACAGTCCTACCCTACCCTGCGCGGTGGAAATGAGAATGAGTGCGGGGCGAGAGAGTGGGGAGGAGGAGAGCGCGAGGTCGGCTGCTGCTGCTCCCCCCCTTGGCATGACTTCTCGACCTCCCTGACAGCTTTTGTTAACCTCGGGTTTGTAGTACTGGTATTCATGGAGGGGCAGTACTGGTGACTGGTGAAACCTTTCCTTTCCTTGACGGAGTGGATAGGACGAGGACGTGAAATGATGGGGGGGGGCCGAAAGGGGTGGGGGGGGGAGGCGGTGGCTGCTGCTGCTGCTGCTGACATTATGTGGTTCACATTGTGGTGCATGCGCATGGACTGCTTTTACTCTGGTGGCTGCGGAAGCTGCGAAGTGTTCCCCCCCTTGTGTCGCAGAGGCTTGCATCTACAGGAATGCATCTACACAAGGCGACGTAGGCCATTTGATGAAAATGCACAACTGGCACTCCGACATGAAAGGAGGTTATAATCCTCAATCAAATCAAGTCACAGAAAGTCAGCAGCATGAATGTTTGAGCGCACACGCAGGAGGCACGACGCAGTGCGCCCTGCGCGTGTAGACGCGGGTGCAGACATGTCCATTATATCGGTAATTTACGTTTGACTCCGTTGACATCTAGCGCACGTTCACTACATAGTAGTAGTAGGAGCTCGTGAGGAACCTTTTCAGGTGTTGAATCATTTAGATGCCATTACGAGCACATTTGCATTTGTACGGACTGTACGGATACGGATTACAGATTCCTAACTAACGGCTAACCGCGAAGGCCCTACATATATGGCTCCTTCACATACAACACCTTGCCGTTAACATTTTCCGAATCACGAGCCGATTGCACTGACACGTACGCCGTACTGCCGTACGGATCAGGTGAACCCGGACGGGTTTGAAACAATTTGACGAAACCGTGCACTTAAACCTTCGAGCCCGTACTGGATTGTCGGTACGACAGTATGGCACACGGCGTGCCGTACATGAAAACACAATAGAACCGAACAGATCTGCGCGATAGCTTCTATCTCTGGAAGCTTCTTCGACTACGCGCCAAGAAACGTACACCGCTGGAGAAGCACAAGTACCTGTACTTGTCGTACTGCCGAGGACAACCTACGTTCGCATGCACATGCCTTGCTAAAGGCCGAAATTCGAATCCGAAGCCCAAACCAAATTCATACCGCGGTTCGCACCTCATGCACTCATGCTGGCATATGTGAGTTCTCTTGCGATTCCAATAAAGCGCCCTGATAGTGCCCAGAACTTGTACGGCAGCATGGAAGGTCTGCGGCACTTCGGATGACGTCGCGGCTCTCCTACCAGACCGCGACGACACCACTATCAGATACGCTTCCCAGCATTACGTGCATGCATACATACATACATACATACGAAAGTGCGCACGATGCAAAACCTTATTTATGACGAAAACTACTTTCAGACCGCATTATCGCGGGGGGAGCTCTATATGTGGGTCGACAGTACATTTAGGGCACATCATCTAACACCGTATTGCATTGCCGCGCACAACAGACACAACACCCATGCCGTACACAAGTACGGCAAAAACGAATCTGACATCATGTCACCCCGCATTCATATACAGACACACGGAGTATGACAACTTCTACAGAAGAGCTCACGTCTGCAGCTGTAAATCCCCCCCGCCGGTCCTCGCGCGGGAGGGTGTGCGCTCCCGGGGGTTCTCCGGGTCACGTAATGGCCAATACGCGCCCAACCCACATAACGCCAAATCTATCTCTAAAAAGCCCCCAAGCCAACCCCCAAGCAAAATAAAAATCAGCGGCCACGGCCTCTTTTTAATTAACCTGGAAACCTCCCCAATCTCGATCTAGACGCCTCCATCCCAAAGCTGCTGCCATTACCCTGCCGCCTCTTGCTTTTGCTCCTCACGTTTGTCCTCCTCCGTGACTCGTTTCGTTTTTTCTTTTGGAGTGCTTGAAACCCTAAGTAAGTTTCAAGTACTCTTGCACTCACCGCAAAACAAAGCAACAGTCGAGAAAAAATAACGCATGACGCAAAATGACGCGAAAAGCAGCAGCAGCACCACCACCCCCATCCCCACCACTCACCTCCCCACCCCCACCCCCCGTGCGGGGTCTTCTCAAGGAGGCTTTCAAGAAGGCCCCCGAGCAATGCAACACCAGCAAATGCCATACATAGCTCTGACAGGACACCTACGTGGAGCGGAGATGCATGCCGTACAAACAACCGAAAACCGCCGACAGCGGCGGCGGCCGTACGGTGGGCCTTTCAGCTACCTGATGAGCCGTTCCTTCAGCCACAGGCCCTTCTCTTATTATTGCCGTACTCATAGGTTACGCGACATCGGAGATATAACTTTCATACCTTTAGCATCTTCAGCAACACAAGCAGCGCATGAAAACGTTCCCGTCTTGGGGCACATTGCCCAACAAGCCCATTGGACAGTTGTAGAGATCGTGAGCATGGATATCACCTTGCCGTACAGTACGACAAGCCTTTCCTGTATCTTACTTTCTAGGTGGCCGGTTGAGGTCCCCTCTGGGGGCAAAACATCGCCCTTCGAGGACTTCAGTTAACGTCCAACACAGCAGACATATAATCTGAACATCATAATGACTTTGACTGCGAACATTCACCGCATGAACTGCATAAACTGTATTATGAACTAACCAACTAACCAACCAACTAGATGACACGCAGAAAAAACAAAAATGATGAGATACAAGTCAGCATCCCGTGCTGCCAGAGGCCCATAAGATGGCGCGAGGTGGAAATTTTTTTGAGGGATCTGTCGGCCAGTGAGCAACTGCTAACGGCCAACCGTCAACGGCCAACCGTTCACAGCACGCCTCGCCACCTAAACGTCCTCCTCCTCCTCCTCTTCCTGCGCATTCGAGTAATTTAATTACTGCATATTCGCCGTACCGTACTTTGTCTCCAACCTCTCCCTTCCGTCGCAACCTCTCGCCTCCCGCCGGACCACAATCGCCCCAGCAACGGCTGTACGGCATCCGCAATCATTATTGAATTTATTCTTTATTTGCGCAGCGAGGAAATATCTCAAATTACGAGTAGTAGTTGCGAACTCGACACTTGTGGGTTGCCCCACCACCTACGAGAACCCATCGGCGCCCTCATGCCGCTCTCCTCCTCCCTCCCCCCT